ACGAGATGCCTAAGTGACTGGAGTTCAGACGTGTGCTCTTCCGATCTGAATATGTTGTCGTGTGCCAAAGCCCAAATGTTACAAATCATTTTTGGCGCTGTTAGAAATTTTTAAGTGGCACTAGGGGTAGTTTATCGGCCGTAAGGGTGCCTTCCGAAACATCAATCCAATCGGCCTTTTTTTCACAAGCTCTCGGCATGAATATGTTGTCGTGTGCCAAAGCGCAAATGTTACAAATCATTTTTGGCGCCATTAAAATTTTTTGAGTGATCAAATATCAAGGGTGCAAAACGTGTTTCTTGACATTTTTTATCGATTGATACAGTTTAATTTTTTTCATTTTTTTAAGTTGTTACATTTTTTGGAGTTGTAAAAAATTTTCAAAAATTCCAAAATTCAATTCAAAATTTGTTTCTCGACTTTCTCTATCCATTGGTACAGTACAATTTTTGTTTATTTTTTCATTTGATTCACCCTTTACACTAGGAAAAAATCGAGGATTTTGGATTGGATTCTGATTGGTTAACCAAATATTGGTTACTGCGCATCTCTCTTAGTTCATCTTTTCTTCTTACATCATGGCCTTAACCAGGGAGAGAGTGTTTCTCTCTGGTTATTTGTATTTCACAGTCGCGCAATCGCATTCGTGTTCGCGAGTATTCGCGTTTTTGGGACGATAACAAATTTACGAATCAATTCATCTGACCGCAGAGCAGAAAGGAATCTCTCGGTCGCAGTGTGATCTATATTATAAACGTAGAGGCTTCGTGACATCTCGCCGTACTAATGCGCGAGCCGATTAAAACGGATTGTCGAGCGCAATAATGACGAACGATGCGAACCGACGTGCCGGTGAATCGAAATATGTGAGGTACGTAACGTGTATGGGCGATCAATAAATTATTCACGCGGGGAAAATATTGCATTTGTGTATTTTGGAGTTGGCAGTCGTTTGACGCGACAAAATGACTCGCACGCTTCGCATCGGGGAAAATGATCAACGTGCGTCATTTTCCTGTGTTCTCGATGCTCTATTCGACTATGCTATATTCATAGGTACACATACATTGTACTGTAAGTTGTAACTACCTGGTGAGAGAGAATTGGACATTTATTGAAATTTATTATTTTTCACAGCATAGAGTAAAAACTGCAAGATTCAATTTTTTCTGCAATCGAATGACAAAATAACAAAAGAATTATTTAAGAGGCAATTCTTTCCTACTCTCTCTTTTTCTTTTTCTTGATTTTATAAAACACTAGGTATTTCTGTGTTTACAAAGACTGTACAAAGTGTTTAACTGTAATCGATAAAGTTAAAGTTTCTTCAACCCAAAGAGATTTATTGTAATTTCAAGTTGGATCTCGTATTGCATTAAATTGAATTTCTTTCCTTGAATAAATATATCTTTTGTCTCAATTTTATGGTTTTTTAACGCTTTTTGAAAGGCAAGTGATTTTATGGAATGATTTAACACCAAGATGACTTTGACATTTTCATTTTTAAAAGTAGAACGGTATAATTTTTTTTTATATATAATTGATTCTTTAAATTCTACATATAAAAATATAAGGCCAAATTCACACTGCGATACGCAATTCTCCAAACTTTTGTACTCTGTCGGAATAGATTTATTCGTCAGAATTATTCGTTTTAAATATATTTTTAACGCAAATAATCGTGATTGAATACATTAAATTAAATTTTTCGACTGTAAAATTTAATTTTCAATAAATTTAAAATCAATCTATTAATTAATTAACAAAATACAATGTACGATATAAAATGTGTACTATATAATTTTTAAAGGTAGACAAGTATGAAACAGTAAATATGCCTCATGGCTGGAGGCAGGAACAACATCGAGCAAAATGGAAATTTAGATAAAGCACACCAGTGGCAATGCCACAATACTACTCTTGATTTCTCTAGACCACTTCAGTCTTCTCCGAGTGATGAATTCAAGAAACGAAAAAGTGCGGAACAATGTCGCGCTATTCTCAAAAATATCAGCCTATTGCAAGACAGTATTCTGAGGTATGAAAATTATATTTTCTATTTTAACAAATTTTAATGCAATGATTGTGTCATAAAGCACATAATGCGGAATATCGTGTCACTTGAAATTTTTCTAGTATTGTATAAATATACTACATCTGATCATCTGATATACGTATAAAGAAATATTTTAAAATTCTTATTTATTGTAGAATATTTACTGATTCCTTGTATTGTGATCTTAACATAATACACGGTTACAAAATAATACGTATAAATGAGTGTTTTGTTAGAGCAAGATCGCCACACTTGTATCAAGTTCTCAAGCCTTATTTCGTTTACACTAACAAAACGATCCATTGCATTCTTAATAAAGCTGGACTTTTTCATCGAATTGAAGGTTTTGTAAGGTATTGTATTAGATATCTGTACATAGAAGAAGCATGATTGAAAAGGGATATCGTTGTTGGGATTTGCACCTTTGGCTACATAGGTTTTACTTAATAGAACTGCATTGTTTTAAACATTTTACGTTTAATTCTTTCTGAAACAGATGACAACTGTTTAGATGTATAGATTAGTTGTGCTCCAAAATTTTTCTTCTTTTTTAGTATGTTTATGGTTATATAAGATCAGTCAAATATATAAATATTTATTTCAAGTGTCACATAAGAATAAATGCTTTCTGCACAGCATGTTGTTGTAATTTTTCTTCTAAGAAAGAAGATTTTTTGCAACAAGTTGTATGCAAGAAATTTTACACCCAGGTGTAATTAGTAGATCATGTAATTAGATAGATATTGATACTTGTCACGCATGTAATTGTCTTTTAATCCATTAGCAAGCATGGATCAAACTATCTCTGTTGTAGCAATCAGATTTTAATATCTATTAATTGAATTTTTTTTATAATTAAAGCAAGCACATTAAATTCTAAATCTTTTATTCAACCTTTTTAAACTGTGACGAACTTGTAACGCAATCATAGCTGCAGAAGCTAGTAGAACAGTGAAATCGCAATCAAATTGATCTTCAGTATTTAACAATCCGATGCGAACAAGCATCTTAACACTGCGAAGAAATTTATTGGAAAAAATATTATCTCAACCATGGTTTAAACTTGAAATTTCCCAATTTGGGGGGGGGGGGGAGCGTCTTTACCAATTCGATCACTGAAGCATATGATAATTATCGCAATAACCAGTACATATTAAGAGAAAACGTTTCTATTCTCTTTATTCCAGCTTCAGTTTATAATTGCGTTGCAAGTCCGACATTAATTCGGCACGCAGTTTAAAAAGGCTGGAAAGGCTTTAGAATTCGTATAGAAATATTAATATTAAACACCAAAATTCAGCCTTGCCCATAGAAGGAGGTCTTAAAATTTATACTATATAAAGTAAAATTTATACTATAGTGATATTTATGCATTTACGCAGTCTAGTTCAACTTACTATTACTCGTGTTGTCTTGTCTCTGCACTATTAATACCATTCATATGTATTTACGAATTGCAGGCTTCTCTATAGTAATCTGGACTTTACTCAAGAAGAGCAGCTGTTGGTGAAAATAATTTCAAGTACAAAATACAAATGTCAGTTTTTAAATGAATTTGTATCAAATACCAATATATCTTATGACGGCAGGTTAGACTTATTAATTTATAAAATTATAACAAGTAAATTTTTATAATATATGTTTTAGCCAAAGTTTTGAGAAGCCGATATTATTTTTAATTAATTAAAATCTTCTCTTTTTCATTGGGCTTCATTTACTTAACAAATATTCTATAATTCTTCTTTGTCGCATTTTATTTTATACGTTCGTATTATTCACAGGATATGCGAAAAATGTTTGACGTTGAACTGTGACGCGCATCGGCATCTGCGGGACGTAAAAAATTATGCAGTAGCGGATGCAAGCCCTGCTGCATCAGAAATGGCTGATTCCGGTTTGGAGACGGGTTCGATAAGTCCGCACGATAATACAACGTCAGAAAATTCGAGCACGGACTTGGAAGTGACACAAGCGGCGGAATACACTTCTGCTAATGATGATGATTCGGATCGGATACATGCCGAGCGAATACGCAACAAGGGTGATCGTAATAAGACACTTTCGTTATACGCTGAACATTGCGATTTACTCAACGATAGCAATTATCATGAAAGTAGCGCAAGCCAATCTGTGTCGAACGATCATAGTGTAACATACTCGTCCGTGCAGGAAACGGAACATCAGCTCGCGGACTCATCCAACAATGTTTATCAGGCAAAACTGAATGCCGAAGAGATCTTCCAGTACGAAAGTCGGATGTTAAATGAGCCATTCTACGAATCGGATTGTGGCAGCGATGAAAACGAATCTTTTGAATTTATCGAGCCCATCCCTTCGGCAAGTGATGACCATGAAGGAACATCCACAAAGGGTAAATTGGAGTGGAAAACGCAACCCAATGTTGAAGAATCGAAAAGCACGAGAATCGAAATAGCTGAAACGAGCCAAGAACCCGATCATTCTCGCTTGACTAACGCGACTGATCGTAACAATTCCTCCACAAGCGGATATTACTTCATCGATGCATCCACCTTGAATGATGAGGTGGACATAGTGTCTACGAATGTAACGAGAAATCAGTATGGCAATGATAGTGCGTCGCTATCACATCTGGCGTTTTCTTCAACAAATTATACGGTGAACAAATCGGATAATGCCGTGGAAGAACAATCGTATAAATTTACGCCATTTAAGGCGCTGCCTTTGCTGACTGGCCATGAGCGAGTTCAGGCAGAATTTGAACGAGAATTGAAACTCACCGAGTACTTGCAGCCACTTTGCAGTTCTGCATTGGTGGAAAAGATAGAGGCGAGTAAACCGACGGAGAAGGAATCGTTGGCCGTAGAGATCAAAGAGGCGGACAGTGGAGAGAGCGCGCATCCTTCCCCGTGTCCTGACAACAATACCAAGTTAAACAATCGAGATCATGAAAAAACGGAAACGTCGAGCAGCGTCAACGAAAACAGCAACGAAACAGCAGGGAAGAAAAATGAGAAGAAAGATGTGAGTTCAACTGCTGAGAACAGGCGGCCATCGCTCATCAGAAGAAACACGTTCGAGCTTGACTCTAACGACGAGAAATTATCTGTTTTGAGACAAGAGTATGAACGCAGGCAAGGTAGTCTCGTTTTTCAAAGCGCCATACCGCAATACTCCGGACATCGTGTAGACGGAGACTCCATTTGTCACGTACCTTCCGATTCTGTAGTTGTTCCGATTACCGAACCGTCGATTACGTTTACACCCGATGTGCAAATCGCCATTAATAATACTCCGCATTCGGTGTCATATTTATTGGACGGTCGTGAATACGAGATTAATCAAATGCAAACACAAGCCTGCAACTATTTACAATCCAGCCTCAGCAAGTCTTGTGCGGTTTACCCGGTTATTAAAAGTGCCAGCGACAAATTTATCATGGATTGCAGCGTAGACTCGGATGATGCATCAAATCATTGCAGTAGTAGCTTGCCGGTTACTTTGGACTCTATCTTAGAGAAAGGTGACCGAAAAGGGCTTGTAAAGAGAAGTAAACGAGATGAAGCCACTCCGATTATCTCTGGTGGTGTTAGCACCTCGGATTACTCAAAACCTTCGGATAGTCCCACAGTGCGACGCAAGACAGAATCCACACCGATTGTATCGGGTGGCTCGGTAATTATGAACAAGCCTGAAATCAAAGTCAAGTCCTCCAGAATGTCTTCTTCCATGACTGCTTGGGTGGTTGATATGAGTGATTGTAATAAAGAGGAGCCCAAATCTCGAAACAACTCGCGGAGCATGTCGCAAAGCTTTTCCACTTCCGAAAGTGTCAGAAAACCCGCACAAAAGTCGAGCAGTCATGAAAAACACGGTAGTTTAGGTTTTTTTGTCAATCTGAAGGATGTGAATGATGATGTTGAACCCATTAGACGTGATCACTCGCTTGAGAGAAAGGAACGTGATAGTAACGGCAAGCCCTATTGCGAATTTTACGTCGATATCTCGGATAGCAAGAGTAATAGCGATAAAGTTAAGCCAACCTGCGGGAAGCAAGATATAGGCACGAAAAACGATATTTCTAACGAAGGATGTGAGAAGAAGAACATCTTCTCAATGTTTATCGATCTGAATGATACGCGCGAGGCTGGCGGAAATATTGTGGCTCCGACGCACAGGCGAAGCTTTTCGACAGTTCCTAATAAATTAGCAGATACTAAGATGGTAGCTACGGATGGTAGCTCCTGCAGAGATAACAGTAGCGGCACAGGTGATAATCAATTGCTGCAGGAACAAAAAAAGGAAAAAACGAAACCTAGCGTTTTTATGTTCATAGAATCCGATTCTCCTGTGGTGAGAAGACGGACGCTGTCTACTTCGCGACCAACGTTCAAGCGGCACTCGTGGAATGTTGACAAGACACAACCGACAAATAATAGTAACGGTTGCGTGGCAAAAGAACTCATGTTTAGAAGAGAACACAAACGTGCGCACAGTATATCGATGGACGGTCGCGGCATTATAAAACAATCTCAAGCGAAGACGAGCTCATCTAGTCACTCGCTTAGCGATGCGGCTAAAACGGATTCTTACAATTATAAAAATTTCAAGACACTACAAGAGCGTGAAAAGAATTCGAATAATATGGACACATCGTCCGAGGATGTATTTGAGTTTGACGTAAAGGACACTCCACCAAACTCTCATGTTGAAATTGAAAATGAACAATTGGACGTTATCGTGAATTATCACGAATACAAAGAAATAATTTCTGGTCAGATAGACAATTTGGAAACCAATGAAATAAAAGCGTACGAAGATGAGTTTTCGGAGACCTCCGCTTGGGAGGAAAAGACGTGTACAGAGAGCACAGAAGGTCACACTCGCAAAAGTGAGACGTTCGATATCAGCAGCGGCAGCGGACCTTCTCCAGATAGCGACAATCATTATTACGAATTGACTGACTTGCTGAATTCAGGTGTTAACGATAGATCGCAACTAGTTGCTACAGTAGGTAACAGCAGTAAGATATCGGAAACTCGCAAATCACTAAGTGAGACTATAAAAAAGATCGAGTGCGAATTGAAGGAGCCGGAATACGGCAATAACGACGCAAGTCAGTCGACATACGACTGCCGTTTCTCGAAGAAAACAGGGAAGGTGCCTGGTCGTAATTTAAAAAATTCGCATTCAGATTCTGATAAAACAAGTACTTCCAGTTTCGTGCGTCTGTCGGATTTGGATAAAACACCGACGACTAACCACGCGTCGGATATGTTGACGATGAAGGATGACAGAAGCACGTATCGAATGAGCAACAGTATTCCAGAAACATCGTGGATAGAAAGTAAACTGACGATAACGAGGCACAGTGGCCCAATCAAACCGGTCCCTAGGAAGCTTACTTCCGTTATGAGCACGTCGCTTCCATCCAAACAGAAATCCCCGTTAGAGGATTTGACTGGAGATTGCGAAGCTGAAGGGATTATTTCCGAATCTGATCTCAGCAGCATGCAAAGCAGTATGGGACGTTCTGGAGCGGGTATGTAGCGTTTAGAATTTGTCAACTAGAATTGATATAAACAGTATAGCATAGCAAAAATTATAAAGCTTCAATTATATATATATATATATATATAACCTTTCCAATGATAAAATTGTAAGATTTTGTCACATTATAGTATAAAGAAGAAAATTGTAAGATTTTGTCACATTATAGTATAAAGAAGAAAATTTTATATATATATATATATATATAAAATTTTCTTCTTTATACTATAATGTGACAAAATCTTACAATTTTACCATTGGAAAGGTTTCAACTCTGTGTGTGTGCGTGTGTGCGTACACTTGGAATCAATAAAAACAAATAAAATATTTATTTTCTTAAAAAAGAAAAACTGCCGATTACAGAAGGTAGCACGGAGGAAACTGAAACGTCAAGCATAGCTGGTGCAAAACCATACAATAGACTGGGTGAGGACCTATTAAGGATGTTCTTGGAAGAAATTAATCCTGATGTTACAATAGATGTAGCTGGCCGGCATATAAGAGCACATAAATGTATATTAAGTTCTCGTTGCCAATATTTCGCCGCAATTTTGAGCGGAGGATGGATTGAAAGTGCAGGCAACATTATTTCTCTACAAGGGTACGCGTATTAAAACGTATAAAATATAGAGAGCATGTTATACAAAAAATTGTATAAATTGCGACAAAGAGATACTTATTCATATATTTGATATCCGACGTGTTTGATACTTAAAAAATATACTTTTATAAAACATTTCATGTAATTATTGTTGGATATATAATATTTACGAGAACGTATGAGTAAAACATCACGAATCTGTTAATATTTTTATTTTAGGTATTCTTATAATGCAGTTCATTTTGCATTATGTCACATCTACAGTGGAGAAAGTAATATACCGGATTCTATAAGTATCGTTGAATTAGCGACGTTAGCAGATATGTTGTGTTTGGAAGGTCTTAAAGAAGTTATTGGATACACGCTTAAGCTTAAATATTGCCATCTGTTTCATAAGGTAGATATATATGTTTAAAAAAGAATGTATTTCTATTTTAAGTTTCAATCTCGAAGAAATAAATGACAATACGTTTCTCTACAATTAATAACAATATCAGTATGTGTATGATGCTATACGAAATATGTAGTTGACTGTGACCGGAAACTTACAACAATCCACTTAATGTTCGAATAGAGAACTCGTTACTACTATGGGCATGTGAATTTTTAATTAGTTTTTTGCAGTGAAGGATTAAAAATCGTAAATTCGTGTCATATCTAATTTCATTGATTTTTTTGGGTCTTGAATATATAATCTTTTTTTTTTTTTTTTTTTCCCTTTAGATTGATATTGATACATTTACTCAAAGATGTTATTTTTTAGCCTTGCCAAATATGTGCCGTTGGAGTGTTAGAATGTATGCCGTTGGCGGCAGCATATGGTCTGGACGAAGTGTATCGAAAATCACTTAGGTGGATTACGAAGCACTTTGTAAGAATATGGCCGTGTAAAGCATTTGCAACTCTTCCAAGAGAACTCATGGAAAAATGTTATCATCAGCATATAGTACACATGGTACGCTCATAAAAAGAAACTTAATCATATTAATAATGATGTAAATATGTGTAAACTGTGTTGTATATTAATTTCTTTACGTAATAAGAAATTGATAATATTTTTATTCAGCACTTTGATTTTGAAATTATAGTTTCGTGCAATTTCAGTGCAAATGAATAAATTTTATCAATATTTTGTTAATTGTAAATCTTTTTTCTTCGTACCATTATAGTCTACCGACAATGTGCTTCAAACTATGATGGATTGCGATAAACTGCTGGCAACTTTACCGAATGTGCGATGGGCAGAGCCAGTATTTCGGATGGTATCGAATCTGTTGGAGACGTCAGTAAAATTCCTGTCAGAAAATTTCGCAGGTGTCTTGGGAAACGACAATTTCCAATCGCTTGGCCGCGAGTTAACATGGAACATCAGTCGTTTAGAAGATCATTTCCTAATAGCTGTCGAACAATTGCCACCCGAACAAGCGTGCAAAAGTTATTCGAAATTGAATAAGATGTTACTCGCGTCACAGACAGATGATTTTCAAGGTAAGGTAAAGTGGGGACCGCTCTTCATCGATTTCCTGCACAAGCTTCAAGGCCGCGTGGAGAAATGCTTGGTGCGTGATGCCGCACGTGCCGCGAGAACTACCACGTGGTTGAAAATGGATTTGGAACTTCGCCGAAGAATACAGGAGCTAGCTTGTCTCGTGATCCTGCCTCACGAGACCTCGAAGCGTCTATCCAGACATTCCAACTTTTTAAAGGCAAGTATTAACTTTTCACAAAAAAAAGAATCTGTAAGAGATTATAGGATTTAAAGGACTCCAAATAGATCGTACTTTTTTGTAGATTATTTATGAGTATATAATTTTAAATAATATTAGTGTGAATAACAAAAATTAATAATACTGCCAAAGAGACAGAGAGAAATTATAAATCATTCTAATATGACATTGCAATTGAAGTAATTGAATTAAATTAACTTATATAAATATACCATTATCTCTATATCCGCATCATTTATTTCTAACAAAATTAAATCCTATTATATTAAAGGAATCTCATGCACCGCCAAATCGTTCGACGATAAGCCGCAGCTTAGATTTAAAACGCGTAAAAATGGCGATTTCGGAGCACAGTGACAAAACTTTAAAGCAGACACCATCATCCAAGCAAACTAAGAAAGTTTTATGTAAGCCAAAAACAGATCCGCTTGAACGTAAAATGCAGGATAAACTGATTATCTCTGAAACTATTAGGCCAAAATCGTGGCCCAATAAGATAGAGGTATGTTTGAAATTTTTATAAATATTTAAAACTCTGTACGTATCTCTCTCTTCTTGCATATAAACTTACATCTTTTTCACAGATTTACGTATGAATTGTACGAACCGAGAAGAATCGTTATTTATTGATATTTCCCAATTTATAGCATATCTTTATAATTAAAATTCAAATTTTTAAGTTGTAAAAATTATTAGTGCCCCAAATTTTTACAACTGCAAAGTCATCCCAATTATAATTGAGTTTATTATTAAATATCAAATTATCATAACGTTGTCGATATAAACTTGCAGGTAAAATCAAGATATTTGGAACCAAGAAACAAACCTGTTCCAAAAGAAAATGTGTCCACGCATCATGACAAAATTGTGCAACAGCGACGTAAAATTATGATTTCCTCGTCTGATTCGTCACGTACTTCCAGCCCGGCGATGAAACGTGCGACAGATAAAAAACCATTGTCCAAGCTAAAGTTACCCGTTAAAAAAGATGTAAAAGCTCTATCGTCAGACAGCTTAACGGAAGCAAACGCGGGTCGAACGGGCAGTAAGAAGGATTTGATCAGTAAAAGTTGCGCTATTACTAGACCCGAATCACCTTCTTTTAAACAGAAGAGCACCGAAATAGGCTTATCGATCGATTCTTTGGAGACCAAGAGAGAGAGTAAGTCGGCGGTTACCGTCAAAAAGAAAGTGATTAACAAGATGGATACATCTATGTCCACTGACAGTCTTATGACGGAGATAACGACGACTCCAAAATCTAATGTGTCCAATAAATTGTCGCCTACTTTAGTAAAAGTGAACAAAACGCAAACTTATGATAGGTGAGATCGAATTTACAATATATATTGAACCTATCAAATTGTACGATTTTGATTTGTATGACTAATTCATTATGATTATGTTAATTATTGTGATTTATTTCGAATTATATTTAATTTTTTTGATTCCTGCATTAGTAATCAAATTTGTTTATTTGTAAATGGCAGGATGAAAAAAAGCTCGCCACCAATACAGCAGAGGAGTCCATTGACGATTACTAAGAGACCTCCGAGGTCATTGGAAAGTTCTACCGCCGCCAGTCGTAGTAGAGCCGCTGCTATCAGTAACACGTATCACGGTTCTCCGAGTTTACGCAGAAGTTTATTAGATGCTGCAAGGACGCCGGACGTCCCCAGTAAACCGGTGAATGCAGTAGCTCCTTTCAGGACGCGGCAGGCAGTTACGCAGACAAACGTTCCTTCTAACACGAGGAGAGAAAGAAAGGAAGTTCAAAATTTACAGAGCTCTGATAGTCCTAGCAAGAAATCCCCCAAGTCTAGCATTGGCAGTAAGATGAGCAAGTCAGTGATTACCGGTAAGAGAATTGTCAGTGGTAAAGCTGACGATAAAATTAAAAAGTGTCGTAATGTGGAGGCACAAAGACACCCTACAGTAGGTTCGAGATCTGGCACATTCCTCAAAGATGAACCTACGATACTTAAGAAAGTGGACATTAAATCATCACAAATCAATACTTAATACTATTGATGGATAATTCTATCGATAGAATTTGCATTGTCGATATTTGTTTCTACCTGCTAATGATATTCTATTTTTAGCGGAATCAGCAAAAGTAAAGATTCTTTTATCGTGACATCATTTAATTATAATAATAAAGATTGATTGTAAAATTTCATATCTTCGTGGGTATTATGTATGTATGTAAATATATTTATATATATATATACATATACATACATATATATGTATGTATCTCTCTCTCTCTCTCTCTCTCTCTCTC